AAATGTAAAGCATGCAAATAGCAACTATCTTAACAGGGTTGACTACCTCCTCTGACGAAGTAGACCAGGGATTACGATAGTCCGGGATGACGGAACCATGGGATCTTGATCTGGCTCGTCTTCACCTCCTCCCCCCTCCCCACACACACCCGTAGTTTTAAGTTTATAGTGATAAACTTTAAATCTCAAACTTCAAAATCCAAATTATAAGATCAAATTCAAACTCTAAAATTATTGCTATTATATGATGGGTTTATAACCTATTCGACCGCTTTAACGACTAGCCTTAATCGAAAGTTCTCTCCCATCATCGGGAGGGATAATTAACTATAGGGGCTTGTTCCTATAGGAAAACATAATTAGAATAAAAAAGTCACAAAATGAGGGCAAAATCTATGGGTAGTGTCTTATTAAAACCTAATCTGCCTTTTGAAAATTCCCCCGGAATGTAATCTCATTAAAACTCTATGATATCTTCATTATCATTATACTTAAAAAAATAATGTAGACCGATGATGTGAAGAGGCCGGGATCACACAAAATGAAATTTTTGGAGCCCAAGTTATCATTTTTTATTATTATATATTTCAAATCTATTAAAAATGGTGGATTACAACCTGTAAAGACTAAGGATGATGACTATGTAAGAATTTTAATTTTCCTTTGGGACAACTTTTGGCCAATATTTCTTAGTTGCTTTCTAAAAATTGTTTGTTGCAGTCTACTCAAGTTTGTCTCATTATCTCGAGCCTGATTATAATGCTCAAACTAGGCTCATTTAGATGTAGGGTTTTAGAAAATTTTAACTGCAATCTATAAATAATCATTCCCAATTAAATTGTAATGAAGTTGTTTCAACATAACAGACATTAAAAGTAAGTTTTCAATTTTTACTTTATAACATGTAGCAATCGTTATTTTTTTAAACCGTGTAATCAACCATTTCAATTAAATTATAATGAAGTGTTTTCACATTTTGGCTTCATATATTTTGACTTAGAGTCCGTTTGGATTGATTGCAGCTTTTTATAAAGTAGTTGTAATATTTTTTTTTTTTGTTTTTTTAAAATAGAACTTTTAATTAAAAAACTAAAGAGGTTACAAGAGGCTGAAATCAAAGAAAAAAACAATAAAAGAAAATACATTGAATCAGCAAAAATAGGCTCAGTAATTGGCCGAGGCTTCCAACCCCCCGAAGCCACGCACCGACCTTCCAATTTGGTGAAGAACGATACGATAACAGCCGAGCAGAAGGCAGCAAAATTAATCACCAAAGGTTGCCAGAAATCATAACATCAAAGAGCGAGCCCCGGCCACATCATCGCCTATCACAACTATACCCAACCAAAAAATTCGGAAAAATCAGCTTGAAATAAACCAATCACAAAGTACAAAAGGAGCCAAATAAACTAACGACCCCGTCTGCCCCTCCCACGGGGTCTAGCATGAGAAATGGCAAAAATCGGATGATCACGAACAATTTTGAAAACGTGTCTAGGGTCCGAACCACCACCATGATCCAAAGAGGAATCAGATTCATCATCCATTGAACAATGAAGCCAATCGAGGTGAATACGCATATCCATCCAAGAATTATCACCCACATGATAAACCAAAGCATTTTTCTCAATTAATTTCACAGGCACATCCAAAAATGAGTTAGCCATCTCTTGTGTATCGACCTCATTCACTGGAACCACAACTAAACTGTTGGCAATAGGAATACATTCCTCTCTACCCAATGATGAAGACTCAGCCCCAAGCCCAAGAGGAACCTCAGCAACAGACGCATAACCATCAGCACCACCTTCCGAATTCTTTAATACTTATGTACCCCCATTTGAATCCACAACACCCAAAACAGGCGAACCATCAGACCCCCTTCCACCCTCGGTAAGAGAAATCGCAACATTAACAAGAGCAGAACCCACCTCCGGAACCAGAACAATCGCCGGAGAATCCAAAATCACATCCGCGAGAGCACAATAGTCCACCAAGCCCGAGGGCATAAAAGGAATGGCATTAGGCAACAATAAAAATTCAGCAGCAGCATCCAAAAAATTGACACCATCACCATACAAAGCCGGGCTATTACAGTTACTAACACGCACAGAATCAACCAAAACAACAGGGGAATTCCCAACAGCAGGAGAACACCCCAAAGGCCCAACAGAGGGCAAATCCACCGCAACAACCTCAGAATTTTCAATAACTTTAACCAAATTTTCTGGCACAGAATGGGAAACACCCTTATCTCCATTAACAACACCTAAAGGAGAGAAATTTACAACTGGAACATCCGAAGCAGTAGGGATACCAGACACAGCATCAGAGCGACAATTACCAGATAAATGCCCTAAACATTTACAAACACCATAAAATTGAGGAAAATCATCTAATACCACCTCTTGAACATACCCTAATGAATCAGAGCCTAACCAAACTTTCCAGGGCAAGTTTTAGTAATATCATGTTCAACTAAAACACGAGCATTGGACAGACGAGAGCCAACCGACGTAGCTTCATCAATGTTCAGAGGTTTGCCAAATAATTTACCAAGCCCAAACAGAATCCTCGGTGCAAAGAAATAAGGACGAAGATGAGGAAAGGAGATCCAGATCGGGATGATCGGCGACTCAACACCGATATCCAAACAAGGTGACCATTTAGTGAGTTTCATAAAACAATTGAAAATAAGATAAGAACGGTGGAAAAAAACCCTACAATAGTCTAAATCATTAGACAATTTGATCAAAATGTGAGTAATATCCAGAACCATAACAGACACTTCTCCGTTCAGCTTTAAATTAAAAAAAAAAATTGTGAATAGTGTCGAGAGGGGAACGCTTCGACGGAAAAAACCCAACTAATGAAAAATGAAAAGGTTTCGCCAGATCCCTAATTTCCTCATCGAAAACCCAAAGGGACGGTAGT